GTGGGATCCGAACCCTCGGCGGGAGCGCCGCCGCGCTCCCAAGCGGCGCACTGTAGCAGTGCGCCACTGGGCCGGCCCCGAAAACCTGGGCATTTTAAAGCAAACGACTAGTTGGGTTTAAATGATAGTTCTTTAAAGTATTTACCATATATTTCACAAATGATTAATAATACATCTGTGTCCTAATGAGAAATAGATAAATAATTTTGAAAAATAATGAGCAAAATATATGGACAGGGCATATAAAGTAGTGATTAACTACATTATGGTACATCTAGACAAAGTACCACGTTGACATTACAATAAAATGGAGCTACATACGGAAAGACTCCCACCATATATATTTAAAATCTGAAACAAGAGATCACAGAACAGTATGCACGGATAAACTCATTTTCATAAGAAAGCAAAATAACATGGTTATGAACATATAAGAGAGAGGTAGAAGACCTTGTACTACAAGTAGTTGGGGAGAGAAATGAGAAGAGTTTCACTTTCTGCTCTCTATTATAGTTTTATCATTTGGAGGTTTTCCCCACTGTCAAACGAAGGGGCCAAAATAATGTTGCAACAGAATACAGTGCGTGCTTCTCTGCTACCTCTCTCATTTAAATGTGTATTCCAACCATGGTTGGGAGGCAGATCATCTTCTTTTCCTTCAATTTCACATGACTTCACTTCCTCTACTACCCTTTCTCCCTTATGACAAGTTGTCAAAAGCATCTCCTGTCAGATAAATCACACTTTACATCTCAAGGTTGCTTTACTTTTGCTTGTTACAGCCTAGCAATGACAGCACAAACTCCCCTTCGACTACATTCCCCCTTCTTCCTGCTTCTTGACAAACACAGATTTTTTACTCCTGTAACTCGTTGCTAGTCAGTTTACATAGAGGTGGGGACTCTACCTAACGCCTGGGTTCCTACTGAGAGTGGGGTTTGCTTCTCCTCTTTCAGCCTCGGCCACCCATTCTCTCCGTGTCCCTCTGGGGAGTTACCCAACTTCTCATTGACAAGGCTATGATGACACCTCTCAGGAAGACAGAGAGCGGAATTGTGTAACCATCTTGGGAAAAACAACAGAAAGAACCTATTAAGTTTTCGAAAGAGTAACCACGATAGCCCTTGGAAGTCGGGGTCACTACTGACTGAGTCTACTGCTCACCCCGACACCGCAGACCCTGCCATCCCCGTTTCCCGGGCCAAGGAGTCAAGTCACCGAGATTGGTCGACGCGGAGCAGAGCAGGGTCCCTACCCCAGCCGTCGGGGCCGGGTCCGCACCAACGTCGCAGGCCCGGAAAGCCCCTCCCGGATCTGTTCCGGGATACAGACCCGCCAGGTTTCTCTCGCACAAAACCCTTTCCCATTCTACGAACTGGTTTTTTCCGCAGCTCTTCGGCTTCTCTCCTTGCGGCGACCCTACTGCCAGCGCGTCCCTTTCGCTCACACGCAAAAGTCCTCCCGTCGCCGTGCTCAACAGATTCAGACACACCAATTCGTTCACGAAGTTTCTTACTCACAGTTCGGGGGTTCGGGCCACAGCCCCTCACGTCTCAGGCCTCCGGCGCCTGGACGAGTGACTCCAACCGGAAGTTGTTTTCCGTTCCAGTTCAGGGGGCAGCGCCTGCGCTCGGAGCCATTAACTTTTCGCCCTCCACTTCGCAAGGCCAGGCCGGCCCGCCTCCCGCCCCGCCCCGCTTCGTCCCGCCCCGCTTCGTCCC